GAAACGAAATGCTAAGAATTTCAGTGAAGCTCCATAAACAAACTGCGGGAACATAAGGGAAGTTAACATACTGAAATTATGGGGAACTTACTGGAAGGTTTAAGATCCTCGAATCGGTTCTTTTAACATCCGAAAATTTTCAGGAACTTTTATAAAAGAAACCTTGAAGGGTATTGTGCAAGTTTTTCAAAAAGTTCTAAGCACCTCTCATAAAAGCTAGATCTAGAGATCTTTGGGGAATTCCAGAGCTTAAGAGCAGTTCCGATCAGAGTTGCGACCTATCACAATCACGATCGCCAAACAGCTGATGGTAGTAAGGCTTTGTACATTCTTATCAATGAGCTCGTCGAAGCTCACTCCATGACCATCTATCAAGTTGACGGAAGAAGTAAAAAGCAACTGGTGAATGTCGTCTTCTGTTGTGATCCATCACCGATCTGGTCATTCCCGACAATCGCGACACTCATCTGTGCTCGTTTTGAAGCAGTTGCTGCTTTGCTTGCTTATGTGAGTGTGTTGGTGAGTGAGCCCAACAGTTTCCGTTTCATGTTGCCTGCTTTGTTTGTAACTCACACAGTCGCGCCTGCCGAGACGAACTTGGAATGCGCAGGCATTGTTTTCATTTTCTTCTGTCGTTTCGCTTTTTTTCATGATCGTACTGCAGAAGTCTTCGCTGTTTTCGTTGTGCTTTTTATCATCAGCAGCGAGTGTAAAGTTTTGCTTGTGAGCAGCGACCTGGTGATTGTTGTTTGCCATGGCTCTAACTCTCACTGCGTGACAAAACGATCTGTCAGCGATAGTCGGTTGATGCGAAGACGAGTGTCACGTGAGTGTCATGATATTTTGCATCACTGGTTCCGATGACTTTAGTTCAGACTTTTTGGAGCAGTTTAAATATCTATAATCGTAAATTTAGAAAAACTGAGAACCCTTAAGATGTTCCGAGAATTTCAGGGAAGTACAAAGAATCTATGAAAACTTTGGAAATATTTCAGGAACTTCACAGAAGTCCAAAGAATTTCAGGGAAATTTATCTGCAATAGAATTGAGAGCTTTAGGGAAGCTTCGAGAACATCAAGACAGATCAGAGAATCAAAGGGCAGTTCAAATAATTTCAAGAAAATTGTAGAAACCTTAAAGAAGTTTCGGAAACTTCAGAAAAGCTCCGATAGAACTTCTGGAACGTGATAAAAATTATTTGAACATCCGGGAAACGTGCGAATATTTTAAGGGTGTTGTATCATGGAGATTTCAAGAACCTTAAAAATTGTGAAAATTCAGCTAAATTGATTAGAGAATAACAACGAAGTTCGATTAATTTAAAAAAAAAACAATATGCGAGAACTTTTAGTAAGCAGCGATAAATATCTTAAAAAAATTCCAGAGAACTTATAATTAAGATAGTTTCATGATATTCAGTGAGGTTCCGAGTACTTAGAGGACGATTAGAAAAATTCTATGATTAATCCAAAAACGTGAGAGAATGTTGAATATATCTTTATCAGAAAATTTGCCGGATTATTAAACAAATTTAGAGAACTTCAGGTAAGCAAAGATAAGCTCAGGGAAAATAAGTGAGCGTTTTTAATGGTTCTAATAGTTAAGGGATTGTGGAATCTTCAATGTAAATCAATTAATTTCAATAAAATTGCGGGTTCTTAAAATATGCTGATCAATTCAGGGCTGTCTAGAGGACTTTAAATAAATTCAATAATCGTTTAGGTAGTTTTAATAACACCAGGAAAGTCTAGACGATTGCAGAAGTTTTAAATTAGTGTCGATAATTTAATGGAAGTTTCATGAACTTCAGAAAAATCATGAGAACTTCAGTGAAAATCATAAAACTATAATAATTATTTCGCTCTAATTCCATGAAAATTGCGGGAGCACAAAAGTTCCAGAAATTTAGAAAAACTTCGAAAACTTCACAGAAGTACAGTGGTCTTTGGAAACATTTCGAGAACTTCATAGAAATCTATGGAGTTTCAGGGGAGATCCGCGAACTTCAGGAATTTTAATGAACATTAGCAAAATGCGGGAGCATTTGAAAGAAGTTTAGTTAGCTCCGAAAATTGGAGAAATTTCAGGGAGAGGTCAGTCTCGTCAGTTTCATAAAATTAGTGGGAAATTTAAAGCAGTTCCTAGATTTTCAGATAACTTCAGAGGCGTTAAAAATTCTTCGTATAAGTTCAGAAGTTCACTGAAGCTTAAACATTTTAAGGGTGGTGCAATTAAATTCAGCACAGTACAACAAGCTTCATGAGAACTGCAAAAACTTTAGAGAAGTTTTGAGAATTTCAGAAAAGAACAGAGAACCCAGTTCCGTTAACATTTGAGAAGTCACATAAAGTTTAAAGAAGTTTAGAGAATTTCAGCGAATTGTTAAACCAAAATTCATGATTGTTAGTAAAATTACGGAAACTTTAGGAAGTCCTATAAGGTTCAGGGAAGTTTAAGAATTTGATGAGTGGTATTGTAAGCGTCAGACTAGTTTCTCAAACTACAAAAGAACTTCAAGGCAGATTCATTAACTTCAGGAATAATTTGTGAAATTCTCAGAATAGTCCATTCCATATTCAAATGAAATTTCGATGAAGCTGTCCACCGAATTCAATTTTCTTTTAGTTTTCCTCGGAATTACCTTGAAATTCTCCACAATAAGACACCCTTTGGAAAGATTATCAGAATATTAATTGAATTCAGATTTCCTTTTGAATCTTGACACTGAATTCTAGCAAAAATGAGAGTCATTTCCCATAACAAACAATTTCGAAAAGTTCCACACAAATCGGTGAAGTTCGATTTAAATTTTTTCGCTATTTTGCCTGGAACTGCTCTATAGAGATCTGCACTGGATGAGACCTTCATCTCAATTTTTAGCAATAGGAGAATGCACCTAGGTTCAATATTACTGGCTCCAATTTATATCGCCGTACATGATTGCATGATTAAGCTTCGTCCACTATGAGGGCTGAAATCGAGCAAAATTTACCACGAAAAAAGACCTTGATCATTCGATTCAAAAAACAGGTTTACAGAAGTACAGTGCAGGTGGGTTTTTGCCGATATAATAAGGAAAGACGTGCACAATGAATCACTTTTCGAGAACTGCATCAGGTGAGCTCATTACCATAAGTGGAATTTGGTTTGCCTTTTTCCAACTGGAAATTTCCTAAATCGACAAGAAATCATCTTTTATGACGGCTTTAAAAACAAGTGCTTCATATGTAAATAGGCGCCAGGTTCTAATCACTTTCCCTCTTGCGTCAGAAGAAATTCCCTATCAAGCTTCGAGGGAGCGATTTAGCCTTATCTGCAGTAGCAAACACATATTTATTTCAAATCAAGCAATGCTCGACGGTTGTCGATATTTAACTGCTATGTCATTCCCACCAGCCAGCACTTTTTCTACCCATTCTTGTTTGTTTAGCTTCAATCAGTTCGTAATAAATTGCATCAACTGGCCCCCGTTGGCGGAGCTTTGAGGTTTAATAACAAATTGAAACATAACCGTAATTGATTGCTTCTTCTGCCTGCTCACAAACATGTCTCGCTAAACTAACGGCTTGGTTCAATTAAAACGATCACAACAGTAGCAGCACCAGCAGCTTCTCTCGATTATGAAATGACCTGTCATATTATGTTCAACAGTCGTAGTCTTGCAAGAACTTCCATTGCTCAATCTGAGACAAGCGGACCGTGTGATTAGCAGCAGCAGACCAATGAAATCCAGTCCACAAAGGCAGCGGCGATGGGCAGTACCTAATCGAAAAAGCTCGCCTGATGAGCTAATCGTTCGGGAGTTCGTCACCTGACCAGGCGTTCAAGTCTTTTGGAAGCGTCATCTAAACACTTGCAACAACAACAACAACAACAACAACAACAACGGGATGAAATAGACTTCAATCAGCGAAAGTGAACGAACCTTCTCCGCTTCTCTCGTGTAGACCAGCCACCTGTTGTCGTTGTAGGAGGAGAGATGGAGGACAGTTTTTCCGTTGCTTTCGGTGAGTCTTCGGTGTGCATCGTTGAGAGTATGACTGACGGTGCCGGCATAGGTTAGGGTGCCTGTTTTTCTCTGCCCGTTTCCAACTGCCAGCGAATGTTTACCGTTGATGAGGTGATTAACCGATTGGCGTTGATGGATTTCATCCAGCGCGACAAGAAACGAGCGTCATATTTTCACTGGTGGTTATGTTTGATTTGCACAATCACCCACTGAGCGGCACCGAGTGGTGTGCCTGCCGATGGGCCGCGCAGCTTCCATGAACTTCCAACTCGCACGCACTTGAAGGTTGTGTTCTAAGCGGCATGCAACCTCTCCGTCGTCGTCGTCGTCGTCGTACCGGCTACCACAGTGGAATATGTCAATCTCTCACGAGTTCACGAGAAACTACTGCTCCGACCGATCGACACGGGGCGGAGGGGTGCATGACACAGTTACGATGTGCACTTGATACCAATTTTGCACCGTGCTGCTCTCGGTTGTCCTCCAATGGGGCAAGATAAACGATTTGGACTAGATCAATCAAATTAGTGCCGAACCGGTTCGTGAGATTTTTCATTAGCCTATTGGTTGCGCTTTTGCTGCTGGTTTTCGCAGTGTCGATGCCGCGCTGTGACAGTGCTGGTTGAATGTTTCAGGAAGCTCGCGACCTGCACTAAACCCACAAACGTGGGAAACTCTGCCCGCACAATTCAAACTCGATTTCCTTCGGTGCTATTTGTAACTGCATTATTTGCATGCTGATTGGATTCAACTTTCCTTCACACCTACCGAGCGCGCTGGGTCTGCATTTTATGTGTATCATAAATATTTAACTGCCACGCCACCTATCTTCTGGCGTGTGTGTCGGCGCACACAGCCATTTGGTGTTTGCCTCCGTTAGAATGTGTCAACATCATCATCATCATCATCATCAAACATCGCCGGTATTGTCTTTTTACATAACAATCGACCTAATCTCGCTTCTTCTTTGTCTCTCCTTTCGATTTCACAGCCATGCAGTTCACAGCTCCTTCCGCCTTCCGCAGTTACACACCCCTGCATGCGAGGCTACAGCTCCGTCCACACACAGCAGCCGGCCGGTCCGATTCGGGAGTACAACATCGATCCGTACATCCTGCTGGACGACGAGCTCAAATACATCTTCGAAGATATCAGACAAGTAAGTAGAATGGTTAGATTTAAGCGTGTCGGGTTTTTAACGGCTCGGACGCACCCGGCCTGGCATTTGTTTTGCCTTCCAACTTTACGATCATCCTACGAGCGGGATCGTAATCTTTCTGACTTCTAACTCCGTAGAGTAGGGGGCATTTAACGCGTGTATGGTAATTAAATATCTTGATCGCAGATGGGACCATAGGCTTGACGTTGAGAGGGGTTGATTTATGAGTTCGGAACCATCATGTTATGGTCAGTTTAATGTCGTAAACATGTCACATTACCGTTCTGGTGTGTTTTTGATGTTATACATGGATATTGTACTTCAAATGATTTGCTACCAAATCGAAGACAGTGTAACACCAAGGCTTGTGGCGAGTCACTTTTTAGTGACTTGGTAACTTTTTTCAAGCCAGTCACTAAAAAGTCTCTTTTATTAAGGCCAATTCACTAAAGTCACGTTTTCTTGTAATAAGTCACTATTTCAAACTTTTTTAAACGTGAATTTATTTCAAGATTGATCATTCTTCTGGATAGGCCTTGTGTTGACGACCCTGGTATAGAGCTTTTTTTTTACGTTTAATCGTACTTCTCTATCTACAGGGTGTCCACTCATTTGGCTAAATAAAGTTCCCAAGAGTTTTCCAGGTTTTTCCATAACTTTGGCGGATAATGTCCAGGTTTATAACAAGAATGCTATTTATGAAATGCGTTAAAAATATGAAAACGTATTTAAGACATGACAATCAGTTTTAAAGACACAGATTTAGCTCAAATCCATTAAATGTTGAAGTTGAACACTTACTTTTTATTCAAAGTGTTTTTATTTTACTTCATACGCGAAGTTAGTGTCTTCAGAGTTGGTTGGAAATGCAAACATGAAGCTTTAGTGTGATAATTTATTAGCTAGAGAATGATCTTTAGAAGAGGGTAGGTGGATAGTTCCGTTAGGGTACGGCAGTATGAAAATTGAATAGAAGTTGAAAATGAGCGAAGGGCCATTAATGCGACAGTTTTTGAAGTCAGACGCACATCTTTTGCCTAACCCGTACGATGTACGCGGAGATTTGAAGTATGTCTTCAAGTCTACAGGCAAAAGATGTGCGTCCTCCTTCTGCTCATAACTGACTGCGGCTGTGGAATAGGTCTAGCGACGTTTCATCACTACCTAAAGCCCCACGTCCCTCCCCCACACTTACTTTATTTTAGTAGGTCTAAGATCACAACATTTCTAATGTCTTGTCGTTTCGTACTATCAAAAATGTGGAAACTTTAATGAAGTTCTATTGATCTCAGAAAAGAGAGATCTTTGGAAATTCCAGAGGTCTTAAGAGGAGGTCCCCGAAACTTTAGTCCAACTTATTGAATTGGTTTAAAATCTATAAGCGTGAGCTTAGATAAATTCAGGATAGGTCCATGAAGTGCTGAAATAAAATCGAGAACCCTTAAGGTGTTCCGAGAGATTCAGTAAAGAGACCTTCAGAAAATTTATGAAAACTTCAGAAATATTTCAGGAACTTCACAGAAATCCACAGAATTCCAGGGAAGTTTAAAGGTGTTTGCGAGAATTCCATTTATTTTAAATCAGAACTGAGATCTTCATTAGAGTTGAGAGTTTTAGGGAAGCTCCGAGAACATGAAGACAGATCAGAGAATTAAAGGGCAGTTCAAAAAATTTCAAGGAAATTGCAGAAACCGGAATTTCCCGAAACTTCTGTTTGCTCAGAGAAAATTTCTGGAACGCAATAAAAATTATATGAACATCCAGAGAATGTGAGATTATTTCAAGGGTGTTATATCATGGAAATTCAAGATCTAGAGAACATTCGAAAATTTAGCTCAGTTGATTAGAGAACATCAACGAAGTTCCATTAATTAAAAAAAAGACGAGAACTTTTAGCAAGCACCGATATTTTCAAGAAATTTCAGATAAGTTCTAAGAAATTTAGATATTTTTGATTGTTGCATTATATTCAGTGTAGTTCCGACTGCTTCGAGGACGATTAGATAACATCAGAAAAATCCCATCAACTTAAGGAAATTTGTAGCGACTTACAAGGAGTTGTGGGAATTATGGGATATTCCTAAAATTCTATGATTGTTCCGAAAACTGTAGAAGCTTCAGGGAATTATAAATATATATCAGAAAATTTACCGGAACATTTTATCAATTTAGAGAAATTAAGGTAAGCATAGAAAACTTCTTACGAGGAAAATAAGTGATTAAAGGCAAAGTTCCGTGAGCGTTTACAAACTTTATAAAACTTAAGGAAAATTGTAGAACTTAAAGGCAATTAAATCAATTCCAGTAAAATGGTGGATTCTAAAAAAGTACTAAGGCAATGCAGTCTAGAGAATTTTAAGGCAATTGAGAAATATTTTTGGGCAGTTTTAAAAACATCAGGAAACTCTAGAATATTGAAGAAGTTATGAATTAATATCGATAATTCAAACTTCAGACAAATCTTGATAACTTCAGTGAAAATCAGAGAACTCTAATAATTATTTCGCTGCAGAGTGGAAGCCTGAAAAACTTTCCGAAACTTCAGAATAACTTCGAAAATTTCACAGAAGTACAGAGACCTTCAGAACCATTTCATAAAAGTCTATGGAACTTAAGGGAAGACCCGAGAACTTCATGAACTTTTATGGACATTTCGGGAGCATCTCAAATAAGTTTAGTAAAGCTCCAAAAACAAAGGGAATTTCAGGGGAGTTCAGTTCACTTAGTTTCACTAAATAAGCGGAAAATTTCGTGAAGTTCCCAGATTTTCAGAGAACTTTAACTCTAAAAAACTTCAAGAAAGAACGGATATCCTCAGAGCAGAGATATTCCAGAGCAGGGAAATAACAAATTAAAAAAAAAAAGTTTCGAGGAATTCAGTGATTTGTTAACACTTAAGAGAAGATTCATGATCGTTAGGAAAATAGTGGAAACTTTAGGAAGTCCGAAAAAGTTTAGAGAAGTTAAAAGAAATGATGAGAAGTATTTCGAGCATCAGGTTAGTTTCTCAAACTACAAAAGAACTTCAAGGCAGTTTAATAAAATTCAGGAATATTTTGGGAACTTTCAAGTAGTTATGAAGACCTCAGATTAGTCCATTCCATATTCAACGGAGATTTCTCATCAAAATTCGCATGGAGTTTACTATATTAAGCTTAGGCTTCACATGAAGTCTAAAATTCCTCAGAAGTACCAGAAGTAGGAAAAATTAAAGGTCCTTGCCAAATCCCGGTTTTTCATGTTTTTTCAGGTAGTAGAAGCTTGGAGGTTTGATCATAAACTTTCTATTAAATCTTTCTTAAAGGTTCCTATCGTACATGTATAAGCGTTTATGAGAATCTAATTGAATAAGTCTAAAACATCAAACATATATTTGTTATGCCAAAAGAACGACTAATTTTCTTCCCTTATGTCACTTTTTAGTCACTTTTTTACAACTATAAGTCACTATTAGGTCACTTATTTCTTCAACATGGTCACTAAAATCACTATTTTTGACAGCATTGATCGCTACCAGCCCTGAGCGTATCGAGAATACTGCAGAATTAAATGCCTTTAAAATGTAAACCAGTTTTTGGATCAACAATTTTCACTATCAAATTCGATACTTTGACTTAATTAATTATGCTGGGCACCTTCACCAACGTGAAAGACTTCCATCCTAGGCGACTGCTAGCTTTTTTACTTTACCCTTGGCTTATGTTCCTCGAATTGCTTGATTTTTGACGTTGAATACGTCTTACGGGAAGGTACTAGGGGTAAATCGACAAATTGCAACCGTCACGAAAAGGTGTAAGGTTTTGAACGCTTATTACTTTGTCATTTATAGATGAAATTAAAATCCAAATACACCAATCGATAGGAAATAACTCCCAAAATCTGCTACAGTAAATGCTTTTACAACTTTCCTTAAAAAAATGTTGAAAAATGTACAAATTAAAAGTGATAATTTTATCGCTGTTTTCATGAAATAAACGTTCTCCTCAAACCCAGTCGTCATAATCGAGTACCATTTGGTTGCACATCGTGCTGCTTGAATCTGAAAAGTTGTAAAACAGCGCTGCTTTTGTGCCTCAACTCATTTTCGCTTTGGTCGGCGGTTGAGCAGGTGGCAGCAGCAGCAGCAGTATGAAGCGTGCTGCGTTCGATTTTTGCACCTCGAACCTTGCGCATCGTTCCTGTCGAGATCACTGTGGCTGCTGGCTTCTAAGTTGATCAACCTCCTTGCCTGAGTGATAACAATCCCGCGTCCTAAAAATCTCGATTACTTTTTCGAAAGGACATATCAGCTTTTGTAAACAACGCATTTTATCGTCGGTTTGGCGTAACTGATAGCTCGTCCACGCATACTTACATCAGTATATCAAGTAGGGAAAAATTTCCCCTATCTTGTGGTAGTGTTAGCATGCGTGGGTGAGCTACCAGTTACGCCAAATCGACGATCAAATGCGTTGTTTACAAAAGCTAATACGTCCATTTGAAAAAGTAATCGAGAGATAATTCTTTGGCTGAATCCCATGAATCCCGCCTGGTATTGCCCCACCAACTCTATTGCAAATGGTGACAGAGGGCGGCATAGAATTTGGGAGAGTACCTTGTAGGCGGCGCTCAGCAGTATGCTCGCGCGGTAATTGCAGCAATCCAACTTGTCGCCCTTTTTGTAGATTGGGCATACGACACCTTCCATCCACTCCTCCGGTAATATCTCCTCCTGCCAATTACCCAGTGCAGCGCTCTAGCCAGTGCTTCACCACCGCTCACTTGGTAGTTGATCTACACCAGTTGCTTTGTTGTTCCTCAATTTCAAAATTTCTTGAAGATCAGGGGCCGGTAATCTGTCGTCTTCTGCGCGAGCTCCAAGGTATGTTCCCGTGCCACCTTCGTTTTCTACTACTTCTACGTTGAGGTGCTCGTCATAGTACTGCTTCCACCTCACACTCGTTCGTGAGAAGGTTACCGTCCAAGTCCTTGCACATATCGGCTTGCGGCACGTAGCCTTT